TCTTCTTCTTCTTCTTCTTCTTCTTCTTCTTCTTCTTCTTCTTCTTCCTCCTCCTCCTCCTCCTCCTCCTCCTCCTCCTCCTCTTTCTTATGTGTTCTCCTCCTGAAAAAATGGATGAAAATAACTCTGTCAATTTTCAAGAAGTGAAGCGTGGGCGTGGCCAGCCAGGAGTGGGATTTGGGGGTTCTCTGAACTTCACAGAATCTTAGCTAGGGGCTCTCCTGAACCCCTGAGAACCCCCAGCAGCCCAGCCCTGGATACCGTGTCATGGAGGCTGACACAGAACAAGTATGATTGATGAGTTTTATCACATTATTCTAAAAACAATAAATATTTGGGCCAATGCTTGACTTAGCCTGTCTCCCATTTACTGTACACTTTGTAAAGAAAATAAAGCTTATTGTGCTTGTGCAACAGTTTCCCTTTGAAGGAAAAAGGTAGCTTCAAAGGATGTTGCATGCGCTAATACACCTGTTGACATCTGCCATGGAACCCCTCCCATAACATTCCTCATTTGTGGAAGGGGTTCCATGGAGAAGTATGTTGTAATTTTATACATTGCCTGACACAGTACCAAAATCAGCAGAAAACTATTAAATTAAAAAATCTACCCAATGCTCCAAAGCCACCTGATTCATTTTGCTGATTTGAACAAGGTCTCCACTTTGGTTCATGTATCTGAAAAATAAAGTGATTTGAAAGAAGCTTCATCATTCTCAAGTTCTGATAATCCTTCTGTTCAGCTGCTTGCCTTAAGACCAGCTTTTTTGCAAACAGATTCCAGAATTCTGCAGCTTCTTTTTGTCAAAATAAAAGCAGATGGATTAAAAATACCTCTTTGAATTCACAATGAACTTCCCTTAGGGCTTATGAACTGCCGCTTACATACACTGACTAGAATCTGTTCTATTTCTATTAATGAGAAGTTCTGTTTGCGTGACCATTGAGAAAAATATACATTCCAGGATATCTCTTCACTGATCCTTAAAATTAAGTATTCTTGATTTTTTTTATTAATAGAACTTTCAGGATTCTAATAATGGCACTGAATGTCAGACCATCTTTTAGGAATTGTCAGCCCTTCTTTGTCAACATCTAGTGATCTATCTTTGTTGGAATCGGGAAGCCCTTAGTGACTAAACAGGGTCAGAAATAGATTATATGAACTCCTTGAGTGCTAGGGGCCCTTTCAGTTTGAAAAGGCACTAATTGATTTCAGGCATAATTCCTAGCCAAGTAACCTCTTAGCGTTTGCCCCAGTCCTTGCCTTGTAATTTGACCAGACAAGCTACATTAAAATTTGTAGAAATTATGATGTGGGGAAAAAATGAAGTGAAACCATTTCCAAATATGGTTGAAAAAGCTTCCCCATCTCCGTGCATATTTTCTGCGAAATGTCATCTGAAGCTGAGTGGTAGCCCCTTTGTGCTTGTCCTTTGACCAAAGATCAACTTTCTAATTTAAGTTCATGCATGTTGGGTTCTGATGATGTTCCCTTTTTCATACCACTTGGTTTAGTCTTCTTCCTCCCCAATGTTGTGCCTTCATCCTTCCGTCTGAGACAAAGAAAGAAGTCAAAATAAGGCATTAAATGTAACACTATGTCACTTAGAAAAAAACAAGCTTTTGCACATTTTAATTAGATGGGCTTGTAGAGATGAAAATCCTAGAGAATTGTTTATGTGTTAATGTTTTCTGAGATACCTTCATGTGAGAGGAAGATCTGTTAAACACTGAAAATCAGTCAAAGGCAGTATAAAAATTAGTTAATATCTGGTAACAAGGTTGTCTTATAACCGTGCTTATTCTAGGGTTGCTTGAGAATAAGTCTCAATATGTCACTGAGAGAAGAAAGCAAAATCCATCTAAACTGTAAAAATATTGGGTGAAAAAAAAGGTTTCCTCCAGATACACAGCAGATTTCTAAGGGATCCATTTTCAGTGGATCTATCTGAGAAGCAGATATATCAGCTGGGAAGAGTGAAAAAAATCAAAATGGGGGAAGCAGCCATACAGTGAAACCCCAATGTGTCAATCAAGCTGTTGAAATAATTTTTCTGACTTTTTGACAAGCCCCCCCCCCCCCCCCCCCCCAGCATGGACTACTACTTAAAACTAGAGAAGATACTTGTATAAAACTGTTTTACAATTATACATAATGCTATACTGTAAAAATAAGTAATTCTAAAATATTTGTCCTGAAGAACCTGGAGTAAGTATCATCCTGTTAGCTGAAACATAGTATGACAAAAGGAATTTAAAATGATTCCTTGCAGGTGAGAAGTCAGGAATGTTTCACAAAATATGTTTCTGGTTTTACCTATTAATACTTGGGATGGGAAATAGCCAGAGGTGGGATTCAAAATTTTTAACAACCGGTTCTGTGGGCATGGCTTGGGTGGTGGGGGTGGCTTGGTGGTCATGTGACTGGGTGAACATGGCTTGGTGGTCATGTTATTGGCTGGGCGTGCCAACTCAATATCACTCACATCGAGGCACACATTCCCTCACCTGGCCTCTCATGACTGTGGGGATACTGCAACAGTCGTAAGTGTGAAAAATGGTCCTAAGTCACTTTTTTCAGTGCCATCGGAACTTTAAATGGTCACTCCACACAAGCAAAGTACAGCAAAGGAGGGGAAAAAAACTCCAGAGATGTTCCTGAGACAGGAAGTCTAGTCCTGCCAAGAACGTAATAAGGGTTAACAGAGAGGCAGTTTCTGTAAGCAACACCAGAATGTTTCCTTCCTGCCTTCCTTACAGGATTAGGCCAGTAATTTCTTCTAACAACTGGTTCTCCGAACTGCTTAGAATGTTAACAACCGGTTCTAGCGAATAGGTGCAAACTGGTAGAATCCCACCCCTGGAAATAACATCTTAGTTTGTTGATTTTTAACCTGAGGAGTCTAAATGTAAAATTCACTGGAGCATTATTATTGACCATTTTTCATGAATTCCAATTTGAACAGATTTGACCTGGACAAATTAATCCCAAATTAATATGTTGAAATATTTTAGATTTCATGTTGCTCTGAATGCTGTGGTGCATTCTTTCAAAACATCAAATATTCTTACAGAAAACTGAGGGTTTTTGTCTCAGTGCAGTAATTTTGTGATTTGGGTTTGAGGGATGTTAACATTAGTCCGTTACCATATTCAGATTATGTCCCTCTTGGACCTGGAGGTTTCCATGCCCTGTCCACCAAAATCTAGCAGATTCCCCATTTACTAGTCTTTCCGAAGTCCTTAAAAAGACAACTCTCCCCCAGTTATTGGGATAGGATGAGACCGAATCCCAGTGATTAAGACTGTTGTGTTTTAGGAAGGATTGATTTAGGGCATCAAGAGTTGTATTTTGGGGACTGAGGTGTGTGGATATTGTTTTATGTTTTTATCACCATTGAAGTGAACTGCCCATAGTTATGATGCATAAGATAGATGGACATATAAGTGTCTAAAGTAAATGAATAAAATATGAACTGCACACATTAGGGTAAAGTATGAAAAAGGATGCTTCAGAAAACTTTATGATAGAAACACACACACACACACCAGAGGTGGTATTCAGCAGATTCTGACCAGTTCTGGAAAACCAGTAGTGGACATTTTGAGTAGTTCGGAGAACTGGCAAATACCATCTCTGTCTGGGGATTTTACAGTATCCTTCCCCAGCCACGTCCACCAAGCCACTACCACAGAACCGGTAGTAAAAACTTTGAAAATCAATCTCTCTCTCTCTCCCTCTCCCTCCCTCCCTCCCTCCCTCCCTCCCTCTCTCTCTCTCTCTCTCTCACACACACACACACACAAATTACTTGTAAGTTGTTTTCTGTTGTAAATAAAATGGATGGAATGGATTGATGAATGGAGAGACCAATCTGGTCTTCTCTACTAAAGGAGATTAAACCAATCAGGATATTTTTCAGTGGATATAATTTCAGAGATGTTGCCTTTATCAGCTCAATGCCCTGAGATGTATTGGTCTAAATTCCCCATGTATGAGAATGATGGCAAAGGCAGACCAGCAGATCTTGCAACTGTCCAGTTGATGAACAGTAGAACAAAATGCTTTAATGACCCTGCAAGCTCCTTAAAGAAGTCTACTTGCTGCAGAAGAAATGAATACATGCTGGTCTGTATAATGGCAGCCTCACAAGATAAATTGTAGTTTTGTAATAAAAAGCTATTGCAAAATCCAAAAAAGAGGCTGGAGATGGCTTTCCAGTGGGGTTACAACTGAAAAGAGAATATAGATCCATTTGATTTCCATAATAGGTATTTGCAGGAAGAATAAAATAGAGGTGGATATGCACTGAGCAAACAATTTAAAAAAATAAACCTCCTGATTCGCAAGCTGGTTGTGTGATATTACACATAACTGCATGTAGACTTTTTTTTATTCAGGAACACTGATTTGTACCTGGTCTTAAGCACCTTGAAAATCAAATTAATGATCAGCACTTATCTACCCTTAATTTCTTCTTCTCTTCCCCCCTTTCTTTTATCCAGCAGTATTCTGGGTTTCATACAGAAAGATCTGAATCTGATCATGAAAGCCAGTGGGGTGGAAGTCCACTGACTGACACTGCATCTCCACAATTAATGGATCCCACTGAAAGACCAAACTCTCAGCATCATGATGTTTCCTGTGCCTATAGACAATATTCGGATCGTGGTACCCTCTGCTATGGTTTTGCAGTTGACCATTCTAGGTTAGCTGATGATAGACACTTCCATACTCAAGCCTGTGAAGGGGGCAGGTGTGAGGCTGGTCGGTACTTTCTTGGCACGCCACAGCCTGGAAGGGAAGCATGGTGGGGTTCTCGATCTGGCCTTCCACTAACCAAATCTTCTCCTGAGAGCCGAGAAGCCTATGAAAGCAACATGCCACACATAACATCCATTCACAGGATTCATGGTAAGTTATAAACCAACCTGAATTATTGCTTATATAAGCAACCTTAAGCCAGATATTAAAAATGTGTTTGCATTTTTTCTCAGCTTACATGCAATTTAGAAATATTTGTTCTATGAGTGCTGTAGTTTCTAGACCTCGTATTGTTACAGATACAGTATGTTTTCTCTTTTTTCATGACTGCCCAAAATTATTTAAAAGTTAGATAGAGTTTTTTTTATCACTAGTCCTTTTTTTAACCTACATAAAATTGATTTTATATGCACTGGGTATCAGCTAAGAGTTAATATGCTCTTGATGCTTTCAAATATAATTGTAGGGATTACCTGCAGATTAGAAGCTCTCTACACATTGCCTCTAACCTGGTAAGAAATGTTGTGCTAGCCTTCTTGATTAGGAAAGGATGGGATGGGATGAATAGGAAAGCCTCTTTCCAAAACATATCTTCATTTAATGGATGATTTATGTAAATAATCATTTAAAAAGTATTAAATCTAGCAAATTTATTGATCAGATCCAAGAAAGGTTAGAATTTTTGAGAAGGGAACAAAAAGTAGTTTAGACATTTAATACTGGAAACAACAAAACTGTAAAAAGAGAAGTTTGAAAGACCAAACTTTAGGAAGTATTCCAGACAGAGAGAGACCTACCAAAAATTCAGGAAATTAAGGAAAAAATGAAAGGAAAATTAAGGAAAAAATGAAAGTGACTCTTGTGAAATTACTTGGGTTAAGGTATGTGGCTTATGCTGGGCGAACATGTAAAAATAAAAAGCAAGATATATATGCTATATCACTGAATAAAATGAAATCCCAAAATGAATAGAATGGCTTAACAAATGAATGGCAACACAGTAGAGAAGAGGGGAATTAATAAATTTAAAAGCATGGAGAAAATGGAATAGAACAGAAGTATAATAGCTTTTCTTGCTGTTAATTTTTTCTGTACATATGGTGCTTTCGGGATTTTTTTCAAGACACCAAGAATGTTCAGTTGACCCTTTCCTTCTTTTTACTGGATCCAATGTCACTTTTTTTGTTGGTCCTTTAAAGTCAGTAGAGTGCATGGAAAAATCCAAAAGACTGAAGCATGGTTCTGATGATGTTCAGTCAATGCATGGTCATCATTGTTCCCCATTAAGAAAGGGCTTGGATGCATTGATTAATGTTAGGCCAGCATCAGAACTGAAGTTAATAGCAAGTTGTGAGGACCCTCAGAACAGCTGAAAACATGGGGTCCAAGCTTTTGGTAAAAGAGACTTGCAAAATTATAGAAACACAGCTTAATTTGGAAAGCTGAGTTCTATAGGTAGGCATCCAGTCATCTGAAACAGGTAATAGAATCACAAATAAATAGGTGCAATCTTTGAACCTTGACTCGGGTTGACATTCTTAGAAAAAGCAGGGTCTTTTCATATCCAGAGAGTTGTTAGGTTGTGCTAAATACTTTTATTTATAAAAGACTTGATGTATATTATTATGATATTACTAGAGTTGTGCTATTACTACAAGGTATAATTTTCTCCTTTTCACACTGTTCAATGTCTTTTGCTGAGTTCCTTGCTTACAAATGCAACATTAAATATCTTTAAAAATAGAAAACATTTCAATACTTAGTGACTGCCTCATTAGATCTATTGAGAAATATACAATAACACTATAATTTCTGATTCAGCCATTATGTTATTGGCTGAAAAGCCAAACTCCCAATTTTGTTACGAACAGTTAATGGACTTAATTTAGCAGTTTTTTTTCTCTTAAGAGTCATTGAGTTTTTATATCATCAGTCTATAAACATTAATAGGAGTGGAAGTAATTTAAGTTAAAAATGAATTTCATTGGTAAGAGTTATTGGGCAGTTCAAATGTTCCTGAACCAATAATTGATTGTGCAGTTCATAAGGCACTGAACGTGATGAGACAAACTTATGTCATTTGATTCTGAATACAAATACTAATATATGTTGACAAGATATATTGCATCCCTGCCTATCTTACAAAGAAGCATTTCAAAACAAAACTAAGAGGCATCACTTGATTTGAGTTTTTAAATTTTCAGGTGTTATTGATGTAAATACATGCTTTCCTTTATTATATCTTCACATTTATGCTTTATGTACTATGTAGGCATATGTTATTAGTACAAGAGACAGCAATCTTTTTTTGTCCCGACATACCAGCACATGATTTTGCAGTTACCCAGCCATTAGGGGAAAAAAGCTGAAATGCCAAGAGATTATATAAGGTCATAATATTCTACTAATACAATCTGAAATAATGTGATATTTTCATATTCTCCTGTTAGATCCCATGCGCTCTTGTGTAGGATTGCCAACATCATGTAAAAAATTAGGATATTGCAAGATTTTTAAAAATATTTTCTTTTGTTTGGAATTGGAGATACCTTTTGGAAAACCTGTACTAGGCAGCTTATTAGTTGATGGCTAGGGATAACAACACTCGGACATTTATTTGAACTGCATGCTAACGCTGGAAAAAACATCTAGAAGCATTTCACATGTTGCAATACACAGTCAGTAATGTAGGAACTATCTTACGGAAAGTCAAATGAGATTCCCTTTGGGATGATTCTTCCTATGCTTTCTGCATAGGAAATCAACTGCAGAGAGTTCACAGGCTCTGCTGGCTTCTGCTAAATATGAACCAGTTAGGAATTAAGAGGGAGGAAAGTTTGCAAAGCCAAATTTTCCTATAAGTTGAACCCAGTCTCCTTTTCTAGTTAAATGGAGAAATTACAATAGCAGTAGCACTTAGACTCATATACCACTTCATAGTGCTTGACAGCCCTCTCCAAGCAGTTTACAGAGTTATCATATTGCCCCCCCCCCACAATAATTTGAAATTGTAATATAATGATAATATAGCAATAAGACAGTGACAAAGGAACATCTTTTTCTTTGATCTAGCCTTCTAAGTTGCTTTGTACCATATGGACAACCACCCTGATAGATACATAGACTAAATTCCATGGAATATGTGCTAATGAAGATTCTTCACTATATTTAGTATTAACATTTTGTCCTGTGTTGTGATTTGAAGACGATGTTTTGATATGTATTGGTTGAGTCAGGGAAATGGCATGATAGTGCTTTATTGTCCAAAGGAGAGGAAAAGACCTGGAATTTTAGCCATGGCAAATGTAGGGGAAAATGAACTGAGAATCCACCGTTGATAGAGGACCGGAAAGCAATAACAGAGAATTAGAACCAGTTACATCATCGTAGCAGATGATATCAGACATGGACTTACAGTAACACTTTTGTTTTAGTTATTGTACATATATATAAAAATATTTATAAAATATATTTACATCTCCTTTCTCAAGCAGCACATGTTCCCCACCCCCCAAATAAGCATTATAGTTCATATACAAAGTAGGAAGATGCAATGATATGTTACAGAGACAACCCCGAACAGGAATAGAATAGAATAGAACAGAACAGAACAGAATAGAATAGAATAGAATAGAATAAAATAGAATAGAATACTTTATTGGCCAAGTGTGATTGGACACATAAGGAATTTGTCTTGGTGTAAATACTCTCAGTATACCTAAAAGAAAAGATACATTCATCAAGAGTCAAGAATCATAACATACAACACTTACTGATAGTCATAGGGCACAATCAACAATCAAATCATACTAGGAAACAGTCAAGTGGGAAGGGATGGGTGAGAAGGAGTGGTGAGAAGATTAACAGTAATACTAGTGTACACTTTGTAAATAGTTGAACAGTGTTGAGGGAATTATTTGTTTAGCAGAGTGATGGCTGTCGGGAATAAACGGTCCTTGGGTCTTGTTGTTCTGGTGTGCAGTGCTCTATAGCATTGTTTTGAGGGAAGGAGTTGAAACAGTTTATGTGCGGGATGTGAGGGGTCTGTAAATATTTTCACAGCCCTCTTTTTGACTTGTGCAGTACACAGGTCCTCAATTGAAGGCAGGTTGGTAGTAATTGTTTTTTCTGCAGTCCTAATTATCCTCTGAAGTCTGTGTCTGTCCTGTTGGGTTGCAGAACCAATCCAGACAGTTACAGAAGTGCAGATGATAGACTCAATAATTCTTCTGTAGAAGTGTATCAGCAGCTTCTTGGGCAGTTTGAGCTTTCTGAGTTGGCGCAGAAAGAAGAAACAGGGAAGGAGTGAAGCTTTGATGATTTCTGTGAATTCAGACATCCAAAGTAAGAAGGCTGAAAGTCAGGAGACAAGAGGTTCCTCAGCTGAACCTGAACTTGACAAGATAATCCTGCTAACCTAGATAAAATATCATTATATGGGCAGTAAGTCAATGAGGGCCAAGATATATTACATGCTGGAGCTTGACGTATAATAATAATAAATGGCTTAAAATTCTTAACACTGTTATTTTGTCTTTAGGAAGTCATCAGTTCTGAATGATCTTCTGGACTTGGTGCAAAATCCACTGTTCGTTACTTATACTCTTTGTTTTCCTCATTTTTTTTTTTTTTAGGAAGAGGGCACTGGGATGAAGAAAGTGTGGTTAGTTCCCCAGATCCTGGTTCGGCTAGTGAGTCAGGGGACCGATACCACTCTGAGCAGTATCAGGGCAGCCCACATGAGCCCAGCAAAATCGAAACTCTAATTAGAGCAACTCAGCAAATGATTAAAGAAGAAGAGAATAGGCTACAGCAGCGGAAATCCACCCCTGATCAGCTGGTTTCCATGAACGGAGCTGGGAAAAAGCACACGGTTTGTTTTACAAACTACCATCAGCAGCAACAGCTGAGAGAGGCCTGCCGAGTCCCCAGCATCACCACTACACCTCCTTGTGAACACACACAGCAACAACGGGATGGGAAACTGATGAGCCCCCAGGAGAATGACTATGACAACAGCCCCACAACGCTATCTAGAATAAACAGCCCTGGGTCTGATCGAATGTCTAAATCAGGCTTGCTCTTGGCTAAAGACTATTTTCATTCCGACGTGTCCCCCCATCAGACTCCAGGGGACCATCAGCCCACAAGCTCTCCCAATTATTATACTTCCCATAGGCAATACTTTGATAAGCATGCCTACACCTTAACAGGATTTGCTCTGGAGCACCTTTATGACAGTGAAACGATTAGGAACTATTCTTTGGGTTGCAATGGATCACACTTTGATGTGACTTCTCACCTACGGATGCAGCAAGATCCAGCCCAGGGACACAAGGGGACATCTGTTATAATAACCAATGGGAGCTGATGGGCCTTTCGCTCTTCCTTACCCCCACACCCCCCCCCCCCCCCCCCCCTTTTTTTAAGGTCGTCCTAGGACAAGTATCTTTGCAGAGTAATAACCACAGACGCATACGTTTTAAAATTCTTGTTGCAACCAACATTTGACAAGCTACAATGCACGAAAAGAGTTCTTGTAGTGTTGAGTGTTAGTTTATCCCAATTGCTGTTTCAAATGCATTGGTCTCAAGGTTGAGGTAAAGAAAACAAAATCAAACCATAAAGCTAGCACCACATTGTGAAGGAGATCTAAGTTGGGAGCGCTCTTGCTGTGCAAAATTAGCCATTTTGTTTGCATGGACATGCATGATGAACTAGTTAAGGAAAATCTATATAAATTACTGGTGTCTCTCAGGCCTTAATAAAGTAAGACTGCTATGCACTGAATGTGTGTGTGTGTGTATACACACACACAAGATACACACATTTACGAACATACACCAAGGCATGCATACATACATACATACATATGTTTTCTTAAGTTTTCGCGGGTATTTATATGTATGGTATTCAGCTTTGTTCGGGTATTTTCCCACGTCTTAATATTTGTGCTTTTATTATAGCAACGTTTCGGCAGAATCTCATCTGCCATCCTGAGGCTTGTGTATTGGGTTCTTTTTAATCTTGTGTAATACCCGAAGAAACCCAAATACCATACATACACACATACATACATACATACATACATACATACATAATACTCTCTCTCTCTCTCTCTCTCTCTCTCTCTCTCACACACACACACACACACACATTCACAAAGCAGAATGCAAAGCATTTTGAGTTATTTAATAATTCCCTGTTGGCCACAAATATTGCTAATTAAAAATTAGACTCTTAATATGGAATAATACGGTAGAAGTGTTGAATTTAAATATTTGTATAATGAGGCCATACTTTAAGAGAGAAGCAACATCAGGAGAAACTAGGTATATTGGAAGTGATATAATGGCATAGGTTTGGAGAAAAAAGCACTTCTGAAAGATCATCACATTTGAAGTTCTATTTGTTGTTAAACTAGGAAAGTCCTAATGAAGAAGTTGTAGATTGGTGGAAATGGTTAAAAATCCAGATAAGATTTCTTTGAGCAACTTGTTATGAAAACATCAGAATATAGCAAAAGAAAAAAAGGCTGCAGGTTTTGGGTTTGGCTAGCCTAAAGAAAAGAAGAATTAGGGGTGACATGATAGCAGTATTCCAATGTTTGAGAGGCTGCCACAAGGAGGAGGGTATCAAATTATTTTCCGAAGCACCAGAGGGCAGGATAAGAAACAATGGTTGGAAACTAATCAAAGACAGAAGCAACCTGGAATTAAGGAGAAACTTCCTAACAGTGAGGCCAATTAACCAGGGGAACAGCTTGCCTGCAGAAATCGTGGGCGCTCCATCACTGGAGGTTTTTTAGAAGAGACTAGACAGTCACCTATCTGAAATGGTATAGCTTCTCCAGCTTGAGTGGTAGGCTGGACTAGAAGACCTCCAATGTCTCTCCCAGCTTCTCTTTTCTTCCCTTCTTTTCAGAGAAAAAGCTGACACAAAATAGGCATTCCTTGACTTACGACCACAACTGAGCCCAAAATTTATGTTGCTAGGTGAGACGGAAGTAAAATTTGCCACGTTTTACAACCTTTTTTGCCACAGTTGTTAGCTGAATTATTGCAGTTATTAGTGACACAGTTGTTGAGTGAAGCTGACTTGCCCATTGAATTTGCTTGTCAGAAGATCAAGAATCGCAAGTTGGATGCCCAGTGTGTTTCTGAAGAGCAAGTTCGTTCATTCGTTCGTTCGTTCATTCATTCATTCATTCATTCATTCATTCATTCATTCATGCTTGTTCCAAAGTAATATGAAGTAGGACTAGGAGTTGAATATGGGTAGACACCATGAGAACCTATTCAGTTATATTTGGCTACATATTTCACAAGATGTAACAGTATAAATGGTATAGTTATGGGGAACCAGATGTTGGATTAAATGTCCTGCAACAAACGAGCAAGCTGGAGCTTACCAGAACTCAAATCCAGGATTACCTGAAAGGTTACAGGTAATTTTATTTTTGTGACATAACCAGGGGATCAGTAGACATAAATTTATTGAAATCAAGCAGATAGATTGTAATAGAATAAATGTGTTATGGCTCCTCAATTACATAGAAGACTCCGGTATTTCTCATACAATAGTCTTTTGTTTCAGTGCTGTCGCATTCTTGTAGTGTTTTAAATTGCAGCATTCTGCTCCATTCTGCAAAAGACATTGATCTGTTAAATTGGATGTAATGCATAGGCAAGAGTTAATGCAATTTTCCACAGTGATACAGTACATAAGCCTGTAGACCTTCAGGTGTTGCTGAACTACAGTACTATTGAGTTCTCAGTATTTTAGATATTATGGTTAGGAACAGATTCCTATGCTTTTGGGAAAGATTATTTATTAAGATTGTTGCATTTAATCTTCATCAAAGTTCTCCAACTTGAAGTTTGTATGTGGAAGTGAAAAAGTGAATTCTTCCAGTCTGTTTCTCCTAAATTTCAGTGTTGGCAGAGAAACACCTTATATCTGCAAAAACAGATGTTTAAAAGCAAATGAGTTGTAATCAGTGAAACTGTTAGAAGATGGCTGGCATTATAGCTTTCATTTGAAATCACAAATTTGGAAGTTGATCTTACCAAAATCAGAAAGACACTATAAAAAAGTGTTTAGATGGAATTATTATGTTAATTACACAGTTGAATAAGATCTATGTAAGACATTGATAAACGTTGTGGGTTCAGCACAAAGCAGCATAAAATTAAGTAAATAGAAGCATAAAGAAAACTATAAATATTTACAGTTGTAATAGTAATTTGGATAGAAAGTTGGATCTAAGAGCAATGGTACTGCTTGTGGTTTTTCCCCACCAAAGACCATCTTTGAGTTGACAGAAAAATATACTGACATGACACTCATTGTCCCTATTGCTAATCCCTATACTGTCTCTCTTCCTTTTGTTTCCAGGCACAGTAATTACATTGAGGTTCAAAGAGAAAACCTAGTGAATTGAGGCTATTTTTGGATAATGTCAAAATAGAAAGGGAAATCTTTCTTTAATACTAGCATAGCTGAGAACAAGGCCATTAACCATCTGCTGGCTTACAGAATTTTCATGGCATCACTGGACTTATATAAAGCCTGTTTCCAGTGCTATTATTGTGATATAACAATGGGACGAGTCTATTGCAGAAGTTACCATATATCATTAGCAGGAAAAAAAAACCTCACACAAAGCTGGACAAAGGATTAAGATAACATTATGTGAAGAGAGCAGAGAAAACCTGTTGCCAGGGAATATTTATTCCATGGTTAAGTACAAGTAAACACATGGGTTAGTATAGCAAATGGTGACAATGATCCAGCCAACATTAAGCCTATTTATTTCTGCTAGATTATTTAAAAGCTTTCCTTCTGAACTTAATTTAAAAATGTGCATGCACAAATCCCTAAAGTTTCATCTCAAGACAGTAAAGGTATCTTGAAAAAGTACTGGATACTCCCAACCACCATTTTAAAAAAAATCTAAGATGTAATTTAGCAAAGTACAATTGTGCAGTATTTCATTTTTACTTACATAAGAAAATATGTGTGCTTCATTTCCCACCTATCTGCCCATAATAATAATGATGAAGTTTTACAGAGAAGCTTAATGCAATATGTGGACAAGTGCTCAGTTTAATATAAACTTCCTCAAATGTCTTTTAAGTTTAATCACAGACTGTTGGGAATGTTGTAAAATGTTTTGTTTTCAGGATCTACACAATTCCAAGCATAACAGCTGATAACTAATGATCAATAAAGTTCTCATTCAGGGAAGGAGAATCATCCAAGAATAGAATAATAGCCTCAGCTACTTTTTCTGCACTTTTACTGATGTTTTGAAAAACGATAGGGCCATGTAGGCTGTTAAGTCTGCCACTCCAGTCAATGAAGGAATATATAGCAAAGATGAGAAACAGTTACCAAATGAATAAACACATAATTGCGAATCAGCAAGTCAACAATAGCTCTTGGTTTATTCAAGATTGAGATTTCACTAAGATTAAAAATGACACCGTCATAAATATTTTACTTAGGATGTGTACTGTGTAGCCTATAGATTTAATATCTGGCATACAAGATAAAGCTATGGAGAAAATAAAGGTAAATATTGATGTAGCATAGGTCCACAATATTAATGCACTAATAATGAAAATGTTAAGCATAAAAGCTAATATATAAATTAATAAGAATAATTTCCAGTCATATTCTAAAGGGAAGGCTTAAAATGATTATAAAGATTTAAAAAATGAGTTTACATTCTGAAATTAAAAATTCCAGATGACTATTGTATTGGACACAAACAAGGCCCATCACTAATTTCTTAAATAGAAGAAACTTACAAATTATATCCAGATTGTCACATTCCACATTATGAAACAAGTTGTATTCCATATAGTACAATTACAGGTTGCAACCTTATTCAGCTTGCACAAATAACTACTAGGTAAGTATTTATGCTTATGAATCTTTTCGGTGTAGACTGTTGCTAATATGTAACCATTCTGCATGTACAGCTGCATAGTAGAGTACACTCACTCTAGTACTTGCAAGTAGAAATATTTTGGATTTCAATATAAGAATTTCTAAAAATGAAAACAGAGAGTAAGAATCCCAACACAGTTTTCAAGGTTCAGTAGCGTATGTATCAGAATTTCATCAGGCCTAAAATGCTTTTCATGTTATTCAGGAAAGCCTCCATGCTTAAAACTCAGCTAGATCTCTTCACAATGATGTGTTCAGATAATATCTTTCCCAGATAGTGACCATTACCAAACATTAATCTGACATATAGTAGATTTTTGTGTTACATTCTAAATGCAGGCTATATACAGCTGCCAAATCTTTTTGCAAAATGCAGGAATCTTGAATCAACTGAATTTGGGTAGAAATGCTTGG